TAGTTAGTTAATTTAAGCTCTGCTGACATCCATCCAACTGTATGCAATTAAAAAATACTCTTTTTTTAAATTTTTCTTACACATAATTGGGTATTATGTTTACCACATTCTCTAAGCTAGTGACAATTCCCTTGAAAAGAAAACTGCATAATAACCTTTAGTAAATAAACCTCCATAGTCTGTATAACATATTAACATAATTAACCTCCTTAACCTGTATTACACATTCACATAATCTACATTAACAAAAATACTCTTCGCAAGTTTTACGCTTCTGACTTCAAAATAAACTAACTCGTAATTACAAAAGGTGAAGATGTGATAGGAAGATTCAAGATTTTATTCTATCCATACTTCTATAGTAAATACATAGAGCCACAACTATATCAACTAAATAGTTAAAGGACAATTTTATTTTTAGTGAAGTTGCCCCATAACCACTTGCCTTCCAGAGGATTTACACCCTTTCCTGACCAGGCCATTTTTTGTTATATGGCACTGCATTACTTTAACTGACAATTGTGCTGTCATGCAATGTTGTACATAAATGAAGTTTATATCCTTTTTTTCCCACAAATAGAGCTTTCTTTACGTGGTATTTTATCACCTTTGCATTTTTATTTTTTGTGCTATAAACAAAAAAGAACAACAATTTTTAAAAAAAAATTATTTTTGACTTTTTGCTGTAAAACATCCAATACAAAAATGGAAAATTCAAATTTCATTATAGATCATTAATGTAGACCAAAATGTATTCTGCTACATGTCTTTGCTAAAAAAAATCCCAATACATGTAAATTAATTGGTTTATGTGAACATTATAGCGTCTACAAATGGCAGTATATGTACTGAAATTTTTATTTTTTTTACACTAGTAATGGCAGTGATCGGTGACTTATAGTAGGACTGCGGTTGGCATTCTGACACTGGGTGAGAACTGACTAACTGCCACTGATATCCCAATTACACTAATATAGTGATAAATGCTAATAAAAAGCACTGACACTGTACTAATGGCACTGGGCAGGAAGGGGTTAACATCTGGGTCGATCAAAGGGTTAACTGTGTGCTGTTTTACTGTGTGTGCTGTGTGTGTTTTACTAGGGAAACATGCTTCTGTGTATTTCTGCTGTGCAGAGAAATACACAGCAGCATGTTCTTGTTTACACACAGGTCTCTCCCTATCAGGGTTACTCAGTGATCGCTGGGTGCTGGCAAGGAATCTCCAGCCGGGACCCAGTGATTGACATCCATAGCCACCAATGGTGGCACGATTAGGGTGGCTCGCATGTGCCCCCTATCAGAAGATGCAAATCCCATATATATACGTGATTTTGCACAGCCCTGCCACTCTGGAGCAGTAATTCTACTATAGGGCGATGGGCAAGCGGTTAAGTAAATTCTCCACCTTCCTGAGTGCAGCCTGTCTAGTAAAAAAGTACTACATTTCTTCCCATGATCTTTACTGTGTAGTGCTGCTTGAGCCCCACAGCCTTTGACATCCCTGTTGGGTCATCTTCCGACTGCACACACATGCAGCAGCCTCATGAATTTCTTTGAATGAACCATAGAGATGATGGTCCCAAGTTGTTTGGCTTAACAATAGGAATAGATAGGGCAGCTGCATGTGTGTGCAGTAGGAAGAAGACTGCACCCAGGGGGTGGTGGGGGCAAGGTTGTACTTAAAGGAAAAAATGACTAAGAGTAAAGTTGTTCCTTAAATGCAGCTTGAAGATATGTCCCAATATGTTAAAACAACATTTTAGGTCATCTCTGCTTCGATTCATAGATGCATATCTTTTTTACAATTAACTAGTTAGCAGAACAATTTGAAATACGTCTGGCTATCATTAGTCCAAGTCTTTCCACAACTTTACAAAGTAATTTATTATTATTATTATTATTTATCTAAAACACAAAAAAGAACTGCTGCACTAGTAATATGTGCAATGCAAACAAGCTTAAGATGCTATCCAATTATCTGGCATATTGCTCATTAACATTGCAGTATCCTTTATTGTACAGTGTTTTAATTAGGCAGAACATGATACCGTATCACCATTACTTATTGTCACATCATTCCATGCACTAACTACAACATTATAGCTTAATGTTTAAAATCATCTTGCTGTTAAGTGGAAGACATTGCATTTCTATTAAGCAGCAGTGAATGATTTTCCCAGAATTCACTTAGCCCTTCTTTGATCCACAAGCAAAATGACTGATGGGCATTTACGAATGAAGGAGATATAGATAATATTGAATTTCCTATATAATAATATTAGTAATTGCTAAAAATTGATTTTTTTACTGATTTTTAAAAGATATAAGTCTGACTGATGTGTAGGCTTTTATATAAAAGTTAGTTCAGAACTCAGGAGTGTTGAATACTTTTTGTCTGATAGGGCTAATGTAACAAATGTATTATTGTACCAAATCATGAACCTGAAGGGTACTAAACCTCAAAACAAAAATGTAATATATTGCAGCTTACCAGTTTTTAAATGTGATGGCTAAAGTAGTTTTCTTTATTATGTTTTGTTGTCTTTTATGATCACCTGATGATCCTATCACGCTTCCTGTCTTAGGATGTCTCCACTCTGGATGGAGAAGCAATGGAGTCAACTTTGGAGAGCATGCTCAGCCTGGGGAGAGGGTAGTATTAGATGTATTAACAGATTTAGATGGACTTGACTAGCAACTTAAAGCCGAACTCTACATTTTTAAGCAGTTACAACAATAGTTCTTTTTTCCATTTGGGATACAGGTTTTATATTAATTAATTCAATTCAGGCATTGCAAGCACCCCAATCAGTGTTAAACAGTTTGTTTCAACCCTCTGTCAAATTTGCTAGGCAGTTTGGTCTGTTAAAAAGACGTTGAAAAACAAATGAATTACTCGGAGGATCCTCAGGGGAAAATCAAGAAAAAAGCCTAAAAAAAGAGAACCAATGCAGCCACCATATCTAAGTATTGTTAAGCCACAGTATAAAACATTTTTCATTTTGGGATTTAATACCACTTTAATAATAAGAATGTGGTCAATTCTGTTCATGCACTGAGCTTTTCCCAGAAAGGGCTTTATAGCACTGAACATTCCCCTGATCAAGCCACACAAGTGGTGAAATATGCTGGGAGAAGGTCTGGAGTACAAAACACTTTATGAACTTAATTAGTGTAATATTAAAAAAAAAAATGGAATAGACACAAGAAAGGCGGTCTCTGAGTATAATTTAGGCTACAAGAAATCAGTAATAAGGAGTTGTTGAAATAAAAAGATCCATAAACAGTACTACAGTCCAAAATAATAATCAAAAGACCTAGTATTGATGTGAAACACAGAAATAGAAAGAAAAAAAATTAAGATGAGAAATAGATAAAGCAAGCTGTCAAAAAACAGTGAATATATGAGGAAGAAAACAAGACAGAAATTAGGTTATGTAAAAGAAAGCTATACTAAACAAAGAGGTTTTTGCATATCAATAGAAAACATGATAAGTTTTAACACAACAAACTGTCTCACTATCTCCCTCTCATTCTTGTTCTTTCTCTCTCTCTGTGTGTGTGTGTATATATATATATATATATATATATATATATATATATATATATATATTACATTTCAGGTGCATCAAAATAAAAGGTCCTATAGTATTTTTTCTTTATAAAGAAGCCACAGGCTAAATGGAAAAGCCTGCCCCCTGTCAACATTTAGAAGGACCCTTGCTCTCTTTCAACTTGCACCTTCTGCAGAGTCAGAGAGCTCTTTAATCAGTAGGAAGCATGTGCTTTCCTGATTGAACATCTATAGGTGTGACCAGGGGCGGGACTGACCATTTGGAAACTCGGGCACTGCCCGGAGGCCGGGGGTCAGTAGGGGGCCCCATGAGATGCCCCTGGTACCTTTTTCATAGGCTTTTTTTAGTTTAGGCAAGGACACAGGGGCCCCATGATCCCCTATTGCCCGGGGGCCCCATGAGTTGTCAGTCCTCCCCTGGGTGTGACATAGAAGGGGATATGTCAGACTTCTGCAGAGAGATCATTGCTTCCACACAGAGTGTAGGGGTCATTCTCTATAGCAGGCTTTGTAAAGAAACCTTTGAGCATTTGCACACCTTTTTTTAATGTACCTGGAATGTATTTAACTGATTCAAATTGAAAATGTAACAGGGCTTTATGTTTTATTGTCGAGGATAAAGTATGTTACATCTGAATTAAGTGTATACAGTTACTCATACAAAGGTCATGATTAAGAGCAAGGCCATTAGATTCAAGGAGCTTATTAGCCATGGAAGTCCAGCAGTATTTTTCTCTTGCAGGGCATAGATATAATAAGGTTGTTGATGGTCAGGGGGAGAAGAAAAGGCTGCATTTGTGAAAGTTGCCCTGTGAGACAGCATTTCATCATAATGGCTCATTATATTCACCATTCATTTGGTGGTTATACATTAATCCCATTTACATTCTCTTTGCATTTTATTGCACTTATAAAATATGCCATATACTAAGTTGTATCAATTAGCATTGTTGAAATAGGGGCTCTAACCCCCACCACGCTATTAAAAATTAGTATATATACACACATTAAGTGAGTTATATATAGATTTAAAAGCATTTCATAACCTACACAGTAGACATTGTTTCACTCTCACCATCATTGGAAGCTAATGTATATTTATGATAGGAAAATGAGATGTAATAATACATGTCAGGAAATTGCATATGATGATCTCAGATCTATTATTTTTTGTTTTTGTTTTGCTCTCTAAATATGGGACAGTTAATTGCATGACCTCCTTGATTCAGTTGATTCAGTGTTATAGGTTTCATATGTGTACATTCCATGTAGTAAACTATAGTTCTTGTAGTTCATCAGTTCATGTTGACTTGCAGCAGGCAAAGCATATTGTGATCATGTCTTTCTAAAATCTTTCTAAAAGTAAACATATTGAGGAGATTTTCATAAAACTGGTGCAATCAGAATCCTGGAGCAGCTGTGCATGATAGCCAATCAGCTTATAACTTCAGCTTCTTCAATTCAGCTTTGACAATAAAACCTGGAAGCTGATTAGTTTCTATGCAGAGCTGCACTGGGTTTTGCACGCTCTAGTTTTAATAAATCCCCTCATTGTATGTGGACTTATTAGTCTGCCTTTTATTTATTTGCTGGAAAGATTTGGGGTATAGCATACATCAGTGCTAATCAAATTACCAGCTTTAGGGGCCTTAGCTACAGCCCCTAACATTTCCAAAGGGCTCAATGTTCAGTATATGTCATGCTACAGAGGTTGGTAAGAGACTGCTGAGATATTGCTGGGGGTAACCAGTGAAATGCTAGAGGTTTAGTTAAAACTATGCTGCAGGAAACTGGTAGACTCTGGGGACAATATAAAATAGACTGATGGAGATCACTACCATTATAGTCCCTTTACTAACCAATGCTTCATCTACTGCCTGCTGGGGATGACAAGCTGCACCTGTAAGTAGCAGTATACTATACAATATAAGATAAAGCAGTACATAGACACTAGTACAATATGCACAAGCTGACTGCAAAATGATCTTTTTGTTAATAAATTGCAACACAGATACACTTGCTTTCATTGAATAAGTTTCAATGTTTTGTGGCACACAGTTACAGTGTAAGAACAATATCCTGTAAGCCATAAAAATCGAGTCCAATATTTCTTTTAAGATCCTTCAGTTAGGTGGTGGCCACCCGGTTTCTGGTAACCTGATTACTGCATGCAGTAATTTGAAGCCATCACAGCTGTACAGATAGCATATGGATCCCCTTTACTATTGGACATCAGTTATGTAACATCAGGTTGTTCAGCTTCACTTTGTCTTAGTGACCAAACTTAATCCTTAACAAAGACGCCAGCAGAAAGACAGGGATATTCTTGTTTTCTCACTTCAATGAAAGGTGTGTGTATCCTTGCCTGCTGTAGGTCCATGTAGCAAAGAAAGTGAAGGATAAAGGAACCCTGTCACCAACGTAAAAATGCAGGTAAAAGTAGGGGAAATTAAGTATTTAAAATGCCCACTTTTCTTTCCCATTAAGAAGTTTAATTTACTTGCATTTCATTTTGCCATTGAACTTACTAAAAAAAATGTGACTTCTTTAGGAACAGTTAACACCCTAGCACATCCTCCTCCCTCCTTGCACATCATAGCCCTCTCCTGTTCTGGAAATGTGTCTAATTACTGTCAGTGCTGGACAAGCTCCTTCACCCCTCCCCTCAACTTACCCTAAAACCTTTTATGTAGCTGCAGGGGAGCAGTGAAGGGGAATAATATAGAGTGTAAGTTGAGTGATAGTTCTGAGCCTTCTAATGTTGCTGACATCATATTCAAGATGACATTGCCTGGCACCAGTCTCAGAGCTTTTGGAAAATATCAAACTAGCATAGTAGTTAGCATTAACACAGAAGATAGACATCAGGATGGCATTTTGCATCTGAGAACTAAACGTTACATGGTGTTTCAAAATAAATCTCTAGTGATAGTTATATAGTTACATAGTTAGCCTGGCTGAAAAAAAGACAAACGTCCATCCAGTTTAACCATTAAAAAAAAAAAGTTATAATTCTATACCCACAGTTGATCCAGAAGAAGGCAAAAAACCCCAGCAAAGCATGAATCAATTTGCTCCTGCAGGGAAAAAATTCCTTCCTGGATCAACTTTACCTATAAATGTTAGTATCCAGTTATATTCTGTGTATCTAAGATAATTCTGATAGATGTATCAGAAAATTAATGTGCCTGATATAAGATACAAAAAATACTAATGTGTGTACCTAACAAAACAGTGCAAAGTACCATTGCTTTATAAAAAAAAGTATTGTAACCCTTTCCAACCAACTATTTTGTTTTTAATTTTAACCAATAAAATTTGATTGGTTGAAATCAGAGCATATTACACATAGCCATTGCACCATGCACATTTTCGTTAAACGTTTTATATATTTAATATGTATTAAATAATTAACAATTAGCATACATTACAAATAAAATATATAATTCATTTATAGATCTATTTTGTCATAATCAAAGCAACATATTATATTGTAGATTTTGAGATTAAAGCTAAACTCCAAACCGCAAAATACACAGATATATTACAAATCTGGGAGCTGTTTTAGCTGTACTTCTGTCCATCAAATTTTGAGATTTGCACAGTTGTGGGACATAGGAAGAGACCTGATTTTTCTCTGATTTAGCAGGGTAGGAGATCTGATTCTTCTTGGTTGCAGTTCAGGTACACCCAGGAGCGGACTGACCATTCGAGCACTTGGGCACTGCCCGAGGGCCCGGGATCAATAGGGGGCCCCATGAAATGCCCCTGGTATCTTTTATAGGCTTTTTTGGGTGTGCTTTGAGTGTGGGCAAGGACACAGGGGCCCCATGATCCCCTATTGCCCGTGGGCCCCATGAGTTGTCAGTGTGCCCCTGGGTACACCTACAGGTCTCCTCCCACAACCCATGATCTCTGAGTCATTGTGCACTTTTCTCCTATCAGCATGCTTCTTGTCAGCACATGAACTGATTTGCTCTTTGTGCTGCTTCTCCTGTTACCATTTTAAGGCCTCATGCATGTTGGATGTTTCTGCTGTTCTTCCTAGATGCCTTTCCTCCTGGCAAGGCAGAAAAACACTTGAAGCATATAAACACATGGAATTTGTGCAGGTGCGTTTAAGTGCATCATGCACTTGAGAGTCAATTAATTTAGTTGGTCATAATTATAATAATAATAATTTATAATTATATAATTATTATGACCATTGAAAGTAATTATAGCTCAAGAGCTAAATGTGCCTAGAGTTCCTGTGCATTTTGACCTGTTTACGCACATTTATGATTTTTTTCTACCTCTAAACACCCCTGCCTCTAAACGCCTCTAAATGCCTATGTGTATATGGGCATATAGGCTAAGATGCAGGGGTGTTTAGAGGCAAAAAAAAAGCCAGATGCTCCTAACAGCAGCATAAAAAGCATCCAGTGTGAATGAAGCCTAATCTCTGTTGTACAAGGACTACATGCGGATGATATCAGGTCACTGATTGCATTAAAAAATGCATTTATGGATGTATTAGTGAAGAAGTGCATTCATTTGTATATTTTATATCTGCTTGGAGGTTTAATTCTTTTACATTATGAACCATTCAAAAGGCTTCTTTCATTAATTAAGTTTAATTCTGCTTAGACTTCTGTTAGTTAATTTTGATTTTAAATAGTACATGATATAGTTTTTTTGACATACGGTGGAAGAAGAGATATTACATATAGCAAATGATTTAGAAAATACACGAGGCAGCCAATTATCACAATCATGGTGCATTACTGATTAAAAATGTATTTAAGCACAGAGCTGACCTTGTGTTAGATTTATCAGACAGTGTTCTTTTAATAAGTGGAAGGGCGATCATTTTAATTCATTTGTTTTTCTGCTGAGTAAGAGCTTTGGCAAGCTGGGTCTTTTTGTCTTTTCTCTCCTTCACCTAAGCACTTTGCTGAATTGGAACTTCCACTGCATATAATTTACTAATCTGCTTATCAGTGTCAATTTCCAATTCATTTCTCAATTTTGCCTAGATCATCAGTTAACATTTTAGGAAATAAAATAAAATAAAATAATCACTTCTATTTCCAATATTGGAATCTATGGCTTAAAAAATACATTCTGCGTATAATTAATTTCTTTAAAGCCATATTGGAATGTTAAAATGAATAATGTTTGTTGTTAAAGCATACCTATAGTCAAATTAACACTCCTTTCCTCCAATTTTAAACACATTGCCCACTTAATAAGTGTTGTTAAGAGTTTTCATGGCAATTATTGACATTACCAAATGCAAAAGCACATGACTGAGTGATCTCACCTGAATGGTAAGACTGAAACTCAGGCAGAGCCACTTATTGACAAGCTTACTGCAACTTACATTCTTTTAGTCTCTTTGAGTGAGATTGTCTGACACTGTATTAGTGTAAACTTTGTTTTCGGCAGGATAGAAATTTTAAAGCTTCTTTTACTATTTATGAGGTCATCTGGTGATATGTGGTCAAGATAGATGATTTTTAATTTGGCTGTAATAGTATTTAGGTTAGGATAGGAGGTATAACATATTTCAAACTGGAGAACCAGTTTTCTATGGTCATCACTCTTTCCATTCCATTTTCCATTGTGATCCTTTCTAAAGCTACACAGGTCACTCTTTCAGCCAAATTGTTTAATTGTTTGTGAGTGATAGAAATTAAGATCTTTCTCCTGAGAATCTTTTAGAATAAAGTCAAAGGCAACTTTGTTTTTTTTTTGGTTTTTTTTTTTTTTTTTTTAAATTGCTATTCCAATCATATGACGGTGCAACATACATGTTATGGGAGCCAATTACAGTAGGACATGGTTGGTGTGGAAATGGTAAATTTAAATTATCAAAATATTAAGAAAAGATTCCATTGACTACATGTAGACAGAGCATCCAGAGGGGAAGAGGTGAATGGGGCAAGTCACTGCTTGGAATAATTTAAATGTTTATAAAATTGAGCTATGCATACTGTATGTTTTACATAATAACAATCTTCTTCTAAAGAAAAAGTGGTAAAGATTGACCTGGCAAAAGAGCCTAAAATATATACTGGCTAGAAAAAAGATAATTTTATATGAATAACTAATATTCAATGTTTTACCTGATTAAAATAATAAGAGCATACAGACTATACAAAAACACTTTAAGGAAAATAACTTACCAATTCAGAATTAATATTGCCTGTGGATTACATAAATATATTAATAATAGTAATAATATGTAATAATAATAATAATAATAATACTTTATATTGTATTCCAATAAGTTTTTGTGCTGCATGAGGTTTCTTCTCTATGTCTTATTTGGCCTTAGATCCACCTATGAAATTGCCCTTACTCTTCATAGGTTAAGGTCATGATTCCTTGATTCCTCCTTTTATCTATATGAAGTTTCCTGTGCTCCTTCCTGCACAGTACATTAGAGCCATGTTGGCTGTGAAAGCTTTTCAGATTCCAAAGAGCATGCAGGAATTGGGGAAGGGGAGGGATACCTTGGCTGGTTTCCCTCAAATACTGAACGATGGAATACTCCCTACAACATGTGTG